GGCAAGTTAGAATGAATGTAGAAAAGCTTCACTCAAGAGATTCCCCAGGCACGCATAGATGAGTAACATGTTGCCTGCCCTCTAAGAATTTATGGACTAAAAGTCATGTAAGAAAGTTCCACAAATAATATGATGAAGAGAGTGAGAGTCCCAGATTTCAGAGAAGGGAAAGTAACATTTAACTTGGGATGTCAAAAAATTAGTGTTGGATTTGTGTTTGCTTTTCTCTTTGTTTGAGAGGAGGACTTCTGTCGGGGGTGGGCCCGGGGAGAATTTTGTGGGAAATGTCAAGGCTGGAAGCAGAGGGAAGGGCTGGTGCAGGTGCAGCCGGCCTTCAGGAGACAGCAGCCCCCCAGTGTGGTTGGAATTGGGAGCCTGCGGATATCACTGGGATGTCAAGATGAGGTCCAAGGAGAGAGGGTCTGAATAGAAGCCTCAAGGATAGGCACCGGGGAGCTAGAGAAGGCTTTCCAACTTTGGAATAAAATAACAGTTCCACTTACGGGAGAATCGTTCTTGTGGGTCTGCTTTATGAACTGGAGTGGAGAGAGCCTCAGGGTGGAACTGGAAGGTGTCAGATTGTCTGGATAGTTTAGCGGCTGAGACTCTAGGCAAGTTAACTCACTTCTGAATGCTTCAGGGAATATGATGTTAATGCAGTTTTGTGCAAATTGAATCAACTCATGTAAACTGCTTAATAGCACTCCAGAAGTTTTGGCTGCATGAGCTGTGGCAGCCCGTCACCCAGAGGCGTCGGAATGAAGGCCTATGCTGTCAGAAAGGAAACTGGTGACATTTGTAGGGAATTCCTTTGATGTTTATGATTTTTAAAAATTATATGTAAGTTGATTGAATGTCTGTAGTTTGATTTTTTTTTTTGTTAAATGTGGATAATAACGTCCTTTTTCCGTGGCAGAATAGTAACCTTCTAACGTGATTTTTTTCTTAGGCTTTCAGCATGCTTGATGATTCTTTCATATGTGACACATTTAAAAGTTGGCTGAGTATTAGCATTGGTATGTTAGGGCAATGTTTCTTTACTATTATAATAAAAATAGTATTACAAGTCTCTACGAAGTCACAAGCTGATTGAAGTATGAAAAGGTGAGGTTATTGTGGAGAAAAGAAGGAAAATAGAAGTTTATTTGTCAACAAAAGAAAGGTGCTTTCCAGGCGCTGGTCATCTCATCACTTGTCTAAAGCAGTAAGTTGCATTTTCTTGTGGTGTGGTTTCCATTAGTAAAACACATACTATTCTGGATACAGTTGCCATCTTGCCTAGGATGAGCCTTGGAATTGAATTTTAAATAAATCAATGACTTTACGTGGATTAAAAGAATTTACAGATTTTTTCCATGTCTGCAATTTAAGCATGAGATTTGCATAGATAGCTGGTGTGCTTGTCGTCTAGTTCACTGCTCTTTGCCACACGTAACTATTTTCTGAGTCTTACGTAAATTAAATGCACCCGATGTAAATATAGTTGGTTCAACTATATAGTGCTGCCTGCAGGTGAGCGGCAGGCCCTGCATATCTGATTTCTAGGACTTTGTTTTACCTATTATGGTACTTATTTTGATGGCAAATCCCTTGTCTGTCTGTCTTTCTGACACACATTCTCTCTCTGTGTATCTATATGTGAGCCAGAGCCCTGTGATGCATGCACAGACGGGCTCTTTGCTGTTATTTAGCTCCAGGCAGAAAACAAGTTGTGTGGGGTGGGTTTTCCTTCCAGTCATTGTTTCTGTGCATAATGTTAGAATACTTACGGCACTGTTGCTGCCTTCTGGAAGTTGAATTCTTAGCACTTTCTCTCTCTTATGTAAATAAATGTACTTGTTTCATGAGACTCCTTTAGTTCCTGAAATTCAAGTTTTTTTACTTCCTTAAAAAAGAAAGGTGAGAAGTGTTACAGAAGTGGAGCTAGTTGGAAAAGCGCAGACTGACTCCTTTGAAGAGTGTTTTGAAGGTGAGGGAAGATGCCAGGTGTAGCCTCCTCATGGCAGGGCCCTATTCACACCGACATCTTCAGTGGCCGCTGCCTCCCTCAATCTCCAGTTGACTTCTCCTTACCCCTGAGTGTGAATGTCCAGGGTTGTTTTTGGAGCAAAATTGAGGCTCTGGTTTCTGAATCTGTCGTGAAGGGTATTTCTCCCTATAATCCTAGACTGCCACCTTCCTATTCTTAATCCTCCCAGCTTCCTGCCAAAGATTTTGCCTTTTCTTCCTGCTTTTGACTAGCTTAACTTCATCCTGTGCATCGTTGAAACAGCATGGCCTGCAGTTCTGTTGAAATAAAGCAAGAATTTTAGACGAGAAATCTGATCTCAGATGAAGTCAGATATAAGTCCAGCTTGGTGTGTCCAAGGCTGACTTCATTTAGCTGTGTAAATGCTTGTATCTGCCTCCGACAGCTCTGTGATTTCTTTGCATAATGTCTGGCTTCACTGACTTGTAGCCAGAAAATAATGCCACTGAAATACCCGAATGATAGTACTGACCCGAGACGAACCATTCCAAATTGCCAGATTCTATAATATACCGGTTTCATTGTGAATGTCTTCTTAAACCCCTAGCTGCCCCCAAATTAAGGACTTTTAGAATAATAGGACTTAATCATAGATGTTTTCAGGCAAAACAGAGAAAAGTCATGTTGCACTTGTAGCTCTTATGCATTTACACAGGAATTTGAGAGAATTAATGACATTTGACATCAATTGGTTATACCTGATTATGCTTCAATCATAAAAATTGCAAACAAGTAGGAATAATTTCAATGCTAGCAGAATGTTTGTTTTTAAATGCTTTGGTATGCATTTGAGGTTGTCTCTAGGAGTAGAGCAAGCCAACCAGGCAATTTGTCAAGCTCTAGTACATTTCATCTGGAATCTGTCCAATCAGGAAACAGAAATAACTGAGAACATTTTCTTTTAATACTCAACTTGGAGTTTGAAATTCCTAATGATGACTGAGAGTGTTCTACATAGCCAAAGTGCTGTTAAATCATTGAAGAGAGATTATACTATGTCCAATAGGATTTAGTATGTGTATTGCACCACTTTGCACCCAGCTGCTGTCGTGGTCCTGGCAGGTTATGACCCACGAGCACCCTTCCTCACAGCCCATAATCTCTGACGTCCACCCCACTTTACCTTTGATGGCCACGCCCTAAACCTTGTCACCTCCTGGAACAGCTTCTTCTGTGTTGAAATCACAATTTAGTCATCCCTCTCTGACCGCAGCCTCTAGTCCTTTCACTTTCTCTCCCTTGGAAGTACCAGTATTTGGACTTTTTCAGGGCCTCCAGGACCTGGATCCCTTAGTTTTTCCCCCTCCTTCCATCCTCTTCTTGCCTTCCCACAGTGTCTGTTACTTCAGCTAGGCCCTTTTGCCTCCTTCTGTCCCCTCTGTTTTTCTGGCTCGCCTGCCTGGAAAGCCTGCAAGCCTGCAGCAAGCCAACTGCCCCTTTCTCAACACACTTTTGGGCTGCTGGGAGCTGCAGGAGAAAACCCCACAGCTCTTCACCTTGGTACCACCAAAAATTCATGACCTTCACTCTCACTGGGCTGTTAACAGTCCCAGGAATTTCTTGTTAACTTCTCACTTGATTGCCAAAGTCTGTCCCGGGTCCCACCTCCTCCACTCCCAGATGCTTGTTTACAGCGCTTGTCTAATCATCTCATACTCCCTGTTTAGGTTTTGCCTGGCTCCTCTTCGCGTTTACAATAAAAACCCTTAATTTGACCCTTAAGGCTCACATGACCTGACCTGGTTCCTGCCTAGCTCCCCAGACTCCTCTGTTGCCCCATCCCTATTACGTGTTTTTTTTTTTTTTTTTTTGGCTAACTCTTTTGAACTGTATTCAGTTTCTGGTAAGCACAGGCTTTCTCTTCTCTGTGAACTTGCCATCCCTTTATCTGAAACACTTTCCCAGTCTGTGATTTGCACCTCCTCCCCCAACGCTTCACCTGAGTAACTCTTTATTCCTCCTTTAGGTCTTAGCATAGATGTATTATGTATTGAAGAGCATTTATCAACTCCCCACTCTCCACTGCCCGCCCCGACCAGAGACTTCGCCAAGTGCCCCTTCTCTGCCCCCTCTTTCACCCTGTACTCCCCTACATTAGTACTTCTCTTCTCATATTGCCTGTTTATTTGTCTCTTTCTCATAACAGACTGCTTGCTTGGTGAGGGCAGGGACAATATCTGTTTTCTATTTTATTTGTGGTTAGATGCCTACCTAGTACCTGGTAATGGGTCTTGGCACCCTGTAGACATTTAATACAATTTTGGGGGTGAATTAATTCACAAATTATTCATTAACTGATTACTATGTGATAACTACAATGGCATCAACTAACATTTCTTGAGACTTCACCATGCCCCAGAGACTGTTCTAATAAACTCTGTTTTGACCATGATTCTGTGCTGCCTCTGCCTATGTGGGCAGGAACTTTGTTAGGTCCTGAGGGTGAGAGTGGGGCTGTGGGCGGCGTGGTTAGACATGTTCTCGGCTCCAGAGGAATGATAGTCCAGGGGAAGAGATGGTAAAAAGAACAGCTCTTCCAGTATGAAATGCTCAGTTTCTGGATGGACGTTTGTACAGGGTACTATGAAAGGACAAGGGAGGAGAGTTGTACTTTAATTCTTTGAAAGTTAGTAATTTATGGTTAGTATACACATAATATAACTCAATTCATTAAGTAGAACACACTATTTTCTAACTATTCTAATAAAATCTAATGTTATAAAACAGCTAAATAACATGGAGACTATTTACGTTGCCAGATATCTTTAGCTTACAAAGGGAAGTTAAATAAAGGGGTTTATTATTATTCCTATAGATTTCTAGCTCCCCAGTGCTCAAAAAATGGAATTATATTTACCCAAATTGAAGTGACACCCATCTTTGTTTAAAAAAAAAGGTGGATCACAAAATAGATTTCTATGTGCAGTTTAAAAAACTTGGTTTTTGAAATTCGTTCTTGTTCATTTTACAGGAGAATCATGAAAAAAGTCTCCATGGAGCCATCTGAGCGACTGGCCAGTCTCCAGGCCCTGTGGGACAGCCAGACCGTGGCCGAGCAGGGCCCCTGTGGTGAGCATGCATTTTAAAATCAAAATGTAAACGGCTGCATGGATGTCCCCCTGCCAGGAAGTTAAGTCTATTCCTGGTATGCTACTGTAAAGGTACAATTAGTTTTAAGGTGTAATTAGCACCGCACAGACTTCAGGTTGGTGGACAAAAGTCCTATATTTAAGCTGTATTGCACCCTGCTATGTACTTACTATAGGACGGGGGGAGAATCTTTGCTCTTTTCCCAAACGGAAAGAATATCAGCATTGTCGACATCAGCCGTATTTAAGCTTGTAAATTTTAACTTAAAAATCACTTAGCCGAAAACCCGTCACGTTTCCGTTGTATATTTCAGGTGGATTTTCTCAGATGTATGCCTGTGTTTGTGACTGGCTTGGATTTTCATACAGGGAAGAAGTACAATGGGTAAGTGTATCTGTGCGCACATGCACACACACACACTAACATGCACACATTCACACACAGCTGGAGACTATTCCCATATTTGACTGGCTTATTTCTTTTTCCCCACTCTGTATTTTTTTTTTGTTTAAAATCTTCCTCCCTCAGATTACATAAATATCTGCCTATGTCATTGTCTAATTCTCTTTGCATCTCTCTTGCTTCCCTGATCATCTATGTGGACTATTTACATGACTGAATTATATTTCAAATAGGATGTGGATACAATTTATCTGACACAAGACACTAGGGAATTGAATTTACAAGACTTCAGTCATCTTGATCACAGGTAAGCTACTTCTTTTTTTCCTTTCGTCTACTCCTAATTTTGCTCTCAGAGCTGCACTTCTCTGTTGATGCTTACGGATGTACATTATCTCCAGAAAATCGTTTTATACAGGGAATCAGGAGAATCTAAGAATCTCTGGATTTTACCTTTCAAGTAGTATTTTCGAATGTGTTCATCACTATGAATGATTTGGGGTGGGGGTTCTTGTGTGTATCTCAAATCTAGAGTTTGTAGTTAGAAACTATGGAAATGATATAATTCTTAGGTTCTTATACTGGCCCACAAAGGTCTATTTCATCTATCCCGTGTATAAAATATAGTACTATTTTATATGACTGCCTGCCATTTAAAACATTTTTCTAGGAGGAAATTTTACGCTGAAATCCTAACAGATGACTTTTAGTTTACAATGTCTTTATGAATTGGGGATTGTTGAGGGTATGTGTGCGTATGTTGGTGGAAAGCAGTTTGCCAATATCTGCCTTCTGATAGTGATAATAGAACTGTAGAACCTGTTACGAGTTATTTGAGAGACTTTAGGTTTTAAGATCTTGACTTTAATATATTTAGCGCTGTGGGCTAGTGTGATCAGGCCCCAGGGGAAAAGCCTCATTCAGTTGCTCCTTCTTTCTGCAGGGGCAGACCTATCCCAGTTATTTCACTCCCCGACAAAGTTGAGCCTTGCCCTCGCCTCTCCCGTGTCTTTTCTGGTAATTTATCCTGTCCTATTCCAGTCTCCTCCACCGTGAATATGCTGCTACTTATTTTAGGTGGACAGATATCAGCCCTATGGCAGGGAACCCCAGCCCAATAAATCTTTTTCTGTTTGGAATTGAGAGAGAACTCTGGGATTCCAGCTGTTCCTTTTAGGCCATTTGGACAACTGGAATTGCCAAGAAAATTATCGCCTCTTCTTACCACCAGCATCTTGCCCCCCAAAATGTCATGTCAAAGAATTTTTCCACTTACCTGGTAGGAAATCCAGAATTGTAGTAGGCTCCTCGAAGAGTTCTAGCCAACTGAATTGAGCAAAGAAAAAGTATACTGAATGGGTATGACTCCTCCCTGCACAGCCTGGGTCTGCGAAGGACAGGGAAGCGGGTTCAGCTGTGTCTGTAATGGTGGCTGAAGTGCCTAAAGCTGCTCCTCCCCGCCGCCTCAAGCTTGGATTGGCTTCCTTTTTTTATGCAGCAGGCAGGTTTTTCCTGCCTTAGAGCCATTTTCCCTCTTCCTATGTATGAGGGAACTTCATACTCAAGTTTAGGCAAGGTATTTCTTGTGTAGCTCATGAAAAAGTGAACTGAAAAACAAAAAAATAAAATGTTTTACTTTGTAAGTACTTTCCAATAAAAATAGAAAATTTCATGTAGAATGAGATAGAAGTAGGTAGGTCTACAGTATCAGGTCTCAAGGTTTTTGGTCCCAGGATCCCTTTGCATTCTTGAAAATGATTGAGCTTTTGTTTATGTGGGTTATATCTTTTGGTGTTTATCACATTAGAAATTAAAACTAAAATTAAAAATATTTATTAATCCCTTTAAAAATAATGTTAATAAACCTATTACAGGCCAACATAGGTGCCATTTTTATGAAAAATAAATATATTTTCCAAAACAAAAATAAGTCAGCAAGAAGAGTAGCATCAGTTGACCTTTTGGCAAATGTCTTTAATTTCTGACTTAATAGAAGACAGCTGGATTCTCATCTCTGCTTCTGTGTTCACTTTGTTAGGATACGTTGTGTTTTTTTTTTTTTTAAAGATTTTATTTTTCCTTTTTTCTTCCCAAAGCTCCCCGGTACATAGTTGTATATTTTTAGTGGTGGGTCCTTCCCGTTGTGCCATGTGGGATGCCCCCTCAGTGTGGCTTGATGAGAGGTGCCATGTCTGTGCCCAGGATTTGAACTAGCGAAACCCTGGGCCGCGAAGCAGAGCGCAAGAACTTAACCACTCGGCCACGGGGCTGGCCCAGGATATAGTGTTTTGACTGAAGTATATAAAGAAAATCCAACCTTATGCAGATGTGTAGTTAGAAAAAGGATTGTTATTAATAGCCTTTTCACGTAATTAGAGAAATTTATGTTTGATACTTCACCACAACTCAACAAGTGACAGTTTCTTAAAGATCAGTTGCAATGAGGTATCTGAAACCATATAAGTGAACCTTTTTGTATTTTGTTACATTGAAATCCATTTGGTCCACCTTCTACTTTGAATGGGTCTTACTCATACATGATTTTGCAGCGTCCTACGTTGGTTATTTAGAAAATATTGGTTCACTGAGTTATGCATAGTGTCCAAATATTTTGCTGTTGTCCAACAGAGGGAGAAAGAGACATTTGTTAACTATCAGCACCGATCTTATCTGAAAAGGTTTTAAGTACAGCAAAGCTGTCAAGTGGCAGAAAAAGTTTCCCCAAAATCAAATTTTTGCTTTAAGATATAATTTTACTATTGGAAAAAGGTGCTATCAGGTAATTTTCTTCAGTGACTGGCTAGCATCTTACATTTGAGAGAAAATATCTGCTAAATCCCAAGTCTGAATAACCATACTTTGTCATTCTTTTCATGGTGTTCCAGGAAAAAAAGGAGCTAGTTCTGCTTCTAATTCCAGCTATCACACAAATACTCTACATTGGAACAGTTATCACTTTGGTATATAGAGAGGAAGCATTTTGTGATACTTCCATTTTGTTACACAGAATATTTAAAAGCCATTAGTCAAGGGCTCAGATTTCATAAAATGAGTACTTTTTACTTCTTCGTCAGGGACATTCTTCACTGAAATTGCCATTTGTTTAGAGAAACTATGGGTTTGTGGTGGTGAAGGATATGGTGTCTACAGCACAGCGTGGGGGTGCTGCCTGGGTTCCTGCTAAGGTGCCAGTACTTTTCGCTACCATTGCTTTTGCAACATCCGTGCAAATGCCATCACGGTGGAAAGGACAAGTTTGTTTTTGTATTATTATGAAAATAGTCTTGAACTTGTGAACCCCTTGAATGAATCTCAGGGTCCCCCAGGAGTCCATGGACCATACTTGGAGAACATCAGGCCTATAGGAGTGAAGACACCATAGGGCAGCCTGAGGTGTTTCTTGGGCTTTCTTTGTCTGTTACACCTTTAATCCTTTTTGCAGTGTTAATAGATTATACATAGCTTCAGTGCTGAACTTTCCAGCTAATCCACTTGTGCTTAATTTGGTGATTATTCTGTCGCAGAGGGAACTATATCTACAGTTACTTGAAATATATAGAATACTATCCATGGGGCCGGCCCAGTGGTGCAGCAGTTAAGTTCACACATTCCACTTAGGCTGCCGGGGTTTGCCAGTTCGGATCCTGGGTGCAAATATGGCACTGCTTGGCAAGCCACGCTGTGATAGGCGTCCCACATATAAAAGTAGAGGAAGATGGGCATGGATGTTAGCTCAGGGTCAGCCTTCCTCAGCAAAAAGTGGAGGATTGGAAGCAGATGTTAGCTCAGGGCTAATCTTCCTCAAAAAAAAAAAAAAAAAGAAAGAATGCTGTCCAAAATTGAGAAACTTTGTCAAAACTTTTAGGATTTTCCTCCAAGAAGATTTTTCCTAATTCCTTAGCTGGAGAAGTTTCAGTTCATCAGTAAACACTGCATTAATGAGGTGGATCATAATCATCTGGTTTTCTAGCTTAAGGGCTAGAAAGACATTTTTCACTACTGAAACTCTAGATCAGGAGTTGGAAAACTTTTTCTGGAAAGGGCCAGATAGTAAATATTTTAGGCTTTATGGGGCAGACAGTCACTGTTGAAATTATGTACCACCACTGTTGTAGCTTGAAAGCACCTCTAGGCAATATGTAAATGAATGAATGTGACTGTGTTCCAATAAAACTTTATTTACAAAAATATGCATTGTGGGCTGTAGTTTGCTGACTCCTGTTGTAGATCGGTGGTTTCTGATATGGGATGTGAACACCCAAAGGAAAATGTAAGATAAGCTACAAAAAATATTAGAACTTCTATTTATATTTGTTGACTCATGTAAAAATGTCTATTTCTGTTTTATAATGTATGTAATATATTTCTCTTGTAGTACTTAGTATATAATAACTAAAGATTAGAAAATTAGGGGGTTCTGAAGATTTTTTTTTTACAGCAGTGGGCTTGATTTGTAACAATGATTACTGCTCTAGAGGTCATTTCTCCTGCTAATGCCTAAATACTCTGACTTTTTTTCAGAGCTCTAGCTTAATCACCGTAATCTTCAGTTTATTGCGTCTTTCTTGAGGGTCTGATTTTTCCCCATGATTCTTTTTATTAAAATTAGAGCCAACTTCTATCCAGCTTCTATATGAAGAGGTTGCTCTCAGTCCTGTTATATGGCCTGTATTAATAATATTTTGCCAATCAAGTTACAACAAATTATGATGGGTGAACATTCTATGTATGAGAAGCTTGAGCATGCTTATCCATGAAAGAATGGTCTATTCAGATGGTACAGTTGTCTGGAAGTATTCATGGTGGCATAATTTGTGTGTGATGTGGGTCATTCTGTAAACTTGAGAGGTTTTACAAAAAGGCATATTATTATTTTTCTCATTTAGATGTGAATCATGGAGAGGAGAATGGAGGAATTAGACAAATTGGAGGTGCAAGAGGAGAGATTAACTGGGCTACATGTTGAACTAGAGTTTGTTAGCAAATGAGAGCAATAATTCTCTTATCTATGTATGAATTTTCCCACTCTGTCCTGATTTGAACACAATTCAGATAGAAATAAGCAGTTTTGTTCACCATTTACATTTATTAAAGAACATTCTGTGTGCATTTACGTAGCTGTCCCTGAACCTGATCATTTCAGCCAGACTTCTTCTAGAAAGCTGTTCTCTTTTCGTATAATCAATGTGAAAGCTCTCTTGATGGCCATCATTTAAAGCTTTATTTTTTCATTCCACTCTTTCTCCCTAATACTTTTAGTCGTCATAGTTAGAAACATCCATTCTTAACAGTCCTTAAAACCATCAG